ACGTTCGTAAAATTCTAAAATGAGAAGCCAAAGGTCTATTCTATTTATTCGGCACTTATTGATGTGTAGTGTATTTCACGGCGGCACACACTATAACTTGGAGGCCACACGTTTATTAAAACACCCCAACAGAGTAACTGCATAAACGTACACTCGGTTAACTATACCACAACGGGGTAACTAAATAACCGGGTCAGTCAGTTTTCCCCAACAGAGTAACTGCATAAACGTACACTCGGTTAACTAAACCACAACGGGGTAACTATACCACAACGGGGTAACTACATAACCGGGTCAGTCAGCAACATACTGCCTGACCCACGAAGCCGAGTGTTAAGACCGAAGACCGAGGATCAAGGAGACGTAGCACCGGTGGGTTCCATTCCAACAGACAGCCGCGATCACTCTCGGGACCTCCCTTTTATGCTCCCGAGCGTGGTATCGCTCCGCCTTCGGCCACGCCCCCTTCTGGCTCTTACCAGAAAGTTCTCGACTAAGCATCACGTGTCCCTTGAGCCCTCTTTTGGGCCCTTTCGCTATCCTGTCCTGGTCACGCGCCCACTCGGGTTCACCCAGACTGTCACTTCCTTACTTGCCCTCTCTCAGACCTCACCAGAAATATGCCCCCTAGGGCCCGCTTGCAATGCCATACCTACTCTGGTGCCAGAGAGAGGATCAAGACGTACAGTTCCACTCTTGTGATAGTTAGCTGGCGCTAAACACCATAGTAACTGCATTTACGTCACTACAGATGTATAGCCACAATCCAAGTTTATAAAATAATGTACTGGATAAAGAATTGTTCCATAAACATTCAAACTCAAAATCTTGGCTTATACCATTTTACCAACGTTATTTTAACCCAAAATAATGGGCAAGTTTAAAAACTACATGTTTCCCTCACTTTTAGATTTGAAGTTTTCGTGACTGCAAGGTTCTTTCGGTATTTTATTTTATTTAATCATTAAATTTTTACCTACGTGACTTTACCGAAAGAACCAAAGAGTATGTCCCTCACTTTACGCAGGTTCGGTTTGTGCGAATGTGTATATACACCAAACCTATTTCTACTCACACTTCACTCTATGCGGGTTGAATTCACCGCGATGCGGCCGGACTTGGTGCGTTATTGGACGCGCTACTCGGCAGGCAGCGGTCTTCGTGCGCTTTCGTTTTGTGCACCCTTTTTTGGAACACATCTACCACATAAATGTACGTTGAACTTCTTTCGTGCCGTACGTAGCCAACCATGCTAATCCGAGGTGCAGAGGAAACCTGAATTTATAATCCTTTAATAGTATGCACAGGTAATACATTCATTGTGTTTAAATTTTAAACCTAAATTGCATTACCGTCAACAGTCAAGCTAGTATTACAATTAACTGCAATTTTAATATACCAAGATAAAGTAAAATGGAACTGAATTGAAAAGTGGAGTCTTGAAGATTAAAAAAAAATATGGATCTCAGTTCCACTCGCATAAATTGTATTTGATGAACGTCATTCTGAGTCCCAATGAAACGATATTACAGCGCATTGGCTCCTGACGATGAAAACGATCCCAGGCATGATACAACACTGCATGAACTCTGTCAACCGCACGCATGTTGTCGCCTTGATCTTCTGAGAAACTACTCCAACAACAGTTAAGTGGCCCAACTGTACACGTATGTACAATATCTCTTAATGCTACGCCAATACGTCGCACATCAGTCTCGCTGTGGACTGAGGTATAGGCGGATATGTGACCGTGTACAGAATGTTACAGCTACACCATGCACAAATAGGTGACTCAACAAACTCACGGCACAAACAGCTTTAACCGTGGGGACATTGCTTTACTGCATTTTAGAAGTGAATGTTTGAGATTAAGATCACATTATTGGTGAACATCGATAACATGTCAGTTACACAGAGCACAAATGCTGAAATTGTTCCGGTCGGATATTTGCCGTTGTACTGTATTATTTCAAACCTTGTATATGTCATAGCCGAGAAAAATTAACTGATCACTATGCACTTAAAATCCTTAGGCACGTTACACCTGTGTGACAAATATCAGATCATCACATGTCAAGTCATAACACAGAGATTTGGTTGTATACAGTTTAACACCGAGTGTTAACATTACACGTGTTACACAATAGCAATGGCTTCCATGGGTGAAGCTAAAAAAGCTAGCACATGTTTCAGGTTAAAAAAAGGCATAAATGGCATATCTGGCCTTCAGTTGTTGACTCCATATGCAAACTCCATTTTCTGATAATTCGAGGCTGCAAGGTGGATAGAAGACAGTGATACACCAATGGATAATTATGCGCATCTTTTGAGTGTTGCAGAATCCTCAGGATTCCTTCCACACTTATAAAAAAAAACCCGCTTATAAATGGCAATGACAACATCCCAGTGCAGGACCCTCCTGAAAAAAAGGTTTCAGACTCAAGGACACCTTGCTGGGTAAATCATTGGCATTATTAGAATACACAACTGACTCTTCCAATATTAACTTTGAGAGTTTGAGTACATTCTAAGATCTTCACAAGATGCATCTAAGTCTTCCATTCATTTTAAACGAATAAATCCAAGACCCGAATGAACCTTGTAGTGAGGCTTTCCTGGGTTAACAATTCAGATTATGATGGTCAATAGCTATCCAAAGTGTTTTTGGTTTGTACTGTGTTTCATGGCCTCATGTCCAATGTTTTACTCCATCTGCTGGAACCGAATTCTGGAATAAGCTCCCCTGCACGTGGAGCGAAATGTCGAACATGCTTAAAAACACAAGGTACAACCCGAATACACATCCGACGGCAACACACCACAACCGTGAAAACCTCCGTAGTATATAAAACATGTATGACATTTATGGTCAGGTATAACACATATGTTCATTCCATGGGGTGGCTGAATATGACCGCGTCCCTCTTACAGGACGCTACTGTGGATTTTGAGGTCAAAGACGACCTTGCGAAATTGAGAGCGCTTTTACAAACCAGAGAGGTCAAAACAGACGCGTGCCTCGCGATGCAAGGCTCGCCGTAATGAGGCCCCCATTGCTCACACCACCAATACCCTCGCGCATGCTGGCGCATCCAGTCTGTACCATACTAAAAAAAAAAATGAGCGCTTGCGTGAAAACGCGCGGCCTGAAAAAATGTACTATCAGAGAACACGACACAACAGGTTGAACTGGCTGCCACTTGCCAGTTGTACTTTGGCGTTGGCAAGTGGGGATTTCTGAGCACCCCACAGCGTCAACATTGAGAGCAGCCAACAGAGGATTCAGCAGCATACACCGAACACACCGTGGGGTGATGGGTCCTTCCCGCAAGTGGCAGAAGAATCGCGAAAGGCCACCTTTGGCAACAAAATGCAAGGGGGCATCTCCTGAGACACCGGTTTAGATGGCATGTATATGTGGTGAAAAATGCTGAAGTGTGCCTAAATCAGCAGCTTCTAGGTGTCGGCCTAGGCTGACATTGTCATGTATTTCTACAAAATCAACTTCACAACTTCAGATGCATCTGCCTTGGGTGCAGAACCTGTTGTGAATTACACACGATGAGTGATGATAATTAATCTTTATATGCTTATGAGATAACTGTATTCGGTCATCATTCGTAATATATTATGTTTACGTTCCAGTGCGATGTAGCACCTCTAGTGGTTGTGATCGATCATGGAGCATAATGATTGACAAAAGTAAACCGAAAAGCACACGATTCCATACACGTATAGTGAGCATGAGAATCTATTTTATGCACGTTGAAATTACTTTGCACCATATGTAGCCACCCGTGCTAATCAGAGGTGCGGGGGGGGGAAGGACAACGAACTAAACACAAAAATCAGTTCCACAGAAATGAGTTTTCAATTTAGATTAACAGTGCAGAGCTCCATTGGTTTCCTAATATTGGATGGCCGCAGAAGCGCATCCAATTGATGAGAGGATGCAAAGCTAAACCCGCAATATTGGGTGACACGGATACACTATAAGTACAAGCTGCCTGGCAGCACCAGCTACTGCTGCTGAGAGGCTGCGATTCTTCGTCACCAAGTGTTGACAGGATTTGTCCACAATTCTGTCTGTCGCCTGATGATGCTGGTTGTAATTACCAGCCAAACGTCGTACTCGAATGGTAAAGGTTGTGGGTTTACTCTCCAAAACACCGGTGTGCTGAACGAGTAACTAATTGACACGTTTTGTTTATGTAACAAACCATACGAATTGGCTGTCGGGTGGTGGCGGGTTTAACAACACATTTATATTTACGCAAAAAACCCTCTATTAAGAGGTCAGTTATACAGTTTTAGAAGTGGGTCATCCAGCTCATGGGAGGATTTGTTAAATTCAGTGGTGAACTTTTGCAGAACAAGACAGCTCAAGCCCTGCCCGTGGAATTTTAGAGTAACTCCTTTGGAAGTTCAAAATAACATGTGATCGACGACTTCCTTCACAACCAGTCTAAGTAGGTTAACAGAATAAAATGTGATCAGGAAACTTTTACCAAACAGCAACAAAATTTAGAGGGCAGTGTAGTTAGTGATACCATGTGAAATTTATATTATATATGCAAGACTTTCCTGTAAGTTTGTATTTATTTGCTCTATATTAATGTAAATTGATGCTAGTAAAGGTGGATTATATTTTTTTCACATATATGGTGCATTTACCACATTTTCACCAGTTCCTTTATATTCAGTAGACACGTAACGACTTTCCATCCCTCTCGAAGTGATTAATTATGATTCAGCAGGTGCACGGGGGAAGGACAACAAAAACGTTTTTTTTGGGTTAGGTCGCGTAATTAGAAAATGTGTCATAAAACCTACCACCACCCGACACAGCCAACTAGTAAGGGTTGTCACGTAAACAGACCATGACAATTCTTCACTAGTACAGCACACCGGTGTGTTGGAGAGCCAATTGTAAATGTTGTGGCTTTGCTCTCCAACACACCCGTGTGCTGTGCTAGTGATGAATTGGCCACGTTCTGTTTACGTGACAACCCTTACTAGTTGGCTGTGTCGGGTGTTCGCGGGTTTTAACGACACATTTATATATTTACGCGATCTAACCCAAAAAATATCTCTATTATGGATATTGCTCACGAAAGCGAATGTGCTAAACGAAGGATAACAAACTATACACAATGGACACTTGGCTACCGTGTGAATTAAAGGATGGCACAACAGCAGCATTTGGCAGGGTAGTTTGGTGCATACACCTTCTTCTCAGTGCCATACACAAAGTAGTCGTAGCTGATCCCCTTCCAGTCGTACACGACCTTCGTCAGTGGGATGAGGTCCACCCTGTGTCGCTGCCAGAACAAGGACAATTAGAATCAGAAAATGTATTTACACTGCAGGAGGAATCCGGATGAGCTATAACGCTCTTTTTCACAGATGTTCAGTAGGGGCACGGGGTAAGAACGTTACTACAACAATGCAAAAACACGATGGAAGTATAGCCTTAACAGACACAGACATTCACAGGCATGGTGAAAATTCAGTATACAGGAGTAAACAAGTCCTCTAAAAAGGTAAAATATCATAGTGCCATAATTTTCAACCAGGAAGGCCTCCACAAGCCATCGCCATCTCCTTCGACCCTGCTGAAGCATTGAGCCATTGCTGTTACGATGATTATAATTAAACCGCTTGGTAATGAATGAAGGAAATTGTTCTCGACAACCACTAGAGGGGCTTCCCACAAAAGTGGCACATATTTAGTCCAACCTGAAGGAGGGATGGGACGAGTGGAATCCCGACTAAGATTTGAACTCAAGCCCTTCTTGGTTGTGAGCTGCACCTGGCCAGATTCCCAACCCGCGGCCCCCATGGTAAACAAAAATAACTTCCACTCATGCAAAACTGCTGCGCTGTAGACATTTGCCAAATAGCCTTACTCTGGCCAAGCATTAATTGGAATCTGTGAGGTCTGCCGACTGGTCACACTGTGCCCATGGTAAAGAGAAATAGCTACGGCACGCAGGGTCTCGGAGGCTTAAATTGGCCGCGCCAGCGTTTTCTCTGAGGATTTTTCTTGCTGTTGATTTTTGAAATGCGCAGATTAAAAAAAAAGCAACTCAGTGCCACGAGCGCAAAACTGAATCGAATTACATGTATTGGCCATCGCTTCCCCCCCCCCCCCCGCACATGCAGCCACCAGCAGCCGATTGCTCACAGCTGTAAAGTTCCTGTGGATCTGTGGGTCTCCTCTGGTGAGCGATGGCCGAGAAGTCACACGTGGTTCCTGCGCGTAACGCAGGCAGCTATTTTTAATCCATTAACCCGACGCAGCTGTCTTCCAACGTTAGGGAGTTAAAAAATGTAGGTGCAGCAGATTTTGTAAACGTAAAAGTAACATTGTCCAGTATATTTTTTTCAGCAGGTCAGCTTTTACACGAGTCGTGAAAGCTCAACACAAGTGGTCTTTGTCAATGACTTTTTCCTCGTGTTGTGGTGGTAATCTACAACTTATGTTGCTTTCCTCTTTCACAGGAAAAAAAAACTGTAAATGTGCACATATAAGTGGTAATATCATACGTACTAATGTATATGGCTTTTTATATATACAGTGAGGGAAAAAAGTATTTGATCCCCTGCTGATTTTGTACGTTTTCCCACTGACAAAGAAATTATCAGTCTATAATTTTAATGGTAGGTTTATTTGAACAGTGAGAGACAGAATAACAACAACAGAATCCAGAAAAACGCATGTCAAAAATGTTATAAATTAATTTGCATTTTAATGAGGGAAATAAGTATTTGAACCCTCTGCAAAACATGACTTAGTACTTGGTGGCAAAACCCTTGTTGGAAATCACAGAGGTCAGACGTTTCTTGTAGTTGGACACCAGGTTTGCACACATCTCAGGAGGGATTTTGTCCCACTCCACTTTGCAGATCTTCTCCAAGTGATTAAGGTTTCGAGGCTGACGTTTGACAACTCGAACCTTCAGCTCCCTCCACAGATTTTCTATGGGATTAAGGTCTGGAGACTGGCTAGGCCACTCCAGGACCTTAATGTGCTTCTTCTTGAGCCACTCCTTTGTTGCCTTGGCTGTGTATTTTGGGTCATTGTCATGCTGGAATACCCATTCACGACCCATTTTCAATGCCCTGGCTGAGGGAAGGAGGTTCTCACCCAAGATTTGACGGTACATGGCCCCGTCCATCGTCCCTTTGATGCGGTGAAGTTGTCCTGTCCCCTTAGCAGAAAAACACCCCCAAAGCATAATGTTTCCACCTCCATGTTTGACGGTGGGGATGGTGTTCTTGGGGTCATAGGCAGCATTCCTCCTCCTCCTCCAAACACGGCGAGTTGAGTTGATGCCAAAGAGCTCCATTTTGGTCTCATCTGACCACAACACTTTCACCCAGTTGTCCTCTGAATCATTCAGATGTTCATTGGCAAACTTCAGACGGGCATGTATACGTGCTTTCTTGAGCAGGGGGACCTTGCGGGCGCTGCAGGATTTCAGTCCTTCACGGGGTAGTGTGTTACCAATTGTTTTCTTGGTGACTATGGTCCCAGCTGCCTTGAGATCATTGACAAAATCCTCCCGTGTAGTTCTGGGCTGATTCCTCTTCGTTCTCAAGATCATTGCAACTCCACGAGGTGAGATCTTGCATGGAGCCCCAGGCCAAGGGAGATTGACGGTTCTTTTGTGTTTCTTCCATTTGCGAATAATCACACCAACTGTTGTCACCTTCTCACCAAGCTGCTTGGCAATGGTCTTGTAGCCCATTCCAGCTTTGTGTAGGTCTACAATCTTGTCCCTGACATCCTTGGAGAGCTCTTTGGTCTTGGCCATGGTGGAGAGTTTGGAATCTGATTGATTGATTGCTTCTGTGGACAGGTGTCTTTTATACAGGTAACAAGCTGAGATTAGGAGCACTCCCTTTAAGAATATGCTCCTAATCTCAGCTCGTTACCTGTATAAAAGACACATGGGAGCCAGAAATCTTTCTGATTGAGAGGGGTTCAAATACTTATTTCCCTCATTAAAATGCAAATCAATTCATAACATTTTTGACATGCGTTTTTCCGGAATATATTGTTGTTATTCTGCCTCTCACTGTTTAAATAAACCTACCATTAAAATTATAGACTGATCATTTATTTGTCAGTGGGCAAACGTACAAAATCAGCAGGGGATCAAATACTTTTTTCCCTCACTGTATATGCATGGCGGTCACCCATCCAGCCGATACTCAACCTTGCTTAGCTGCCAAGATCTGATGGGTGTATTCCGGGCGATTTGTTTGCAGGCAAAATGAACACAAACGGATCCATCAAGTATCTTCGTCAACGTCGTGAAGAGCATAATTAGCAATGGGCTGAGAATCGTCACTCGGGCACAGCCGAGTGCCGGCCTTCGTGTCGTGTGACAAAGCTGCACATCCACCTCCAGCCCCACCAACTCTGAACCCCCCCCAACAGAACTGGAATCCCAAGCGCGGCCGTTGGAGACTGCGGTACCTGGCGGATGATGCGGCAGGTGCGGAACTTGGTCTGCATCTCGGCAATGGCATTCTGAGAGGCCTGCGTTATCCCAGGGTCTGGGAATCCTATCAAGGGCCACAGCTGTCCAAAAACACACAAACGTGCCCACATTATATTGTGCGCTCATGAAAACAACATACACGGTTACGCGTGTTTTGATATCCGGCGTTTATGCTGCGATTCCTCGATTGGCTCTCATTTCCGAGCGCATTTCAATCCGCACCTGTGCGGTCATAAAGATAAGGGGATTTAATACGTGGGACACGGGCTACACACTCAAAGCTTGAGACAGTTGACAGTCGGGAACGCCTACTGGTGTGGCAAAATGTAAACAGTGCTTTGTGACAAGAAACCTTGTGCATCTGCTCCGAGCGATGGGTGGAGAATTCACACTGCCGAGAGTGCTGAATGGACTGCGTTACAGGGTTAGAGAGGAATGACCAAGGAATAAAGAGACACTCAGTGCTTTATCAAGTGCCAGGGGCTAGGTCTTGCATCTTTCTGTCCATTAACAGGCCGTGGAGGTGCAAATGGTGTGACATGCGCTGCATTTTTATTCATTTCTAGGACCACTGGGAACTGTGATGGCTTGGGTCTCATAACCAGCTCCCATGACACACTTGTCTTCTCGAAGTAGTCTAAACCAACTCAATGTCTACAATCAAATCACCGATCTGACCAAGTCACCCTAAATGTGCCCAATTCTGTTTGAACTTTGAAAATTAGGCATGGTTGAGCCTGGTTTGTGTAGGACGGCGAGGTCGCCAGAAGATAGCAGTGATGATGAGTGTTCCCCGCTCATACGCATTTACTTTCTCCGAGCACTCTGATTTAGTCACGCATACCAATCACGCATCAATGGTATTCACCAAACATCCCCAAGGATGACCCTTCTGAAAAAAGCGTCTTGAGACTGATTGAGGACTTTCTAGGTAAGTAAAAAATAATTAGCAATTGCTGACCCCACACGCACTTCCCACCAATGAGGGTTGAGAAAAGGGGAAGAAGGTATGGAGCTACACCACAAACAGTGGTGTAGCTATTCAGCGCACATGCAGTTAACTGCTTTGGGTCGCACGGGCAGGAGAGGCGTAAAACACGGGCTAAGAAAAGGGGAAAATAATTTGAGATGGTGGGCATTTCATTCCTGGCACCACAGCCAATGCCAACCGTGCTACACCACTTTTTGCGGAGCCTCGTGGCTCAGGGAATCTGGAGAATGCGACTCGGGCCTTGGTGCTGCTCCTCTGATACAGAACTGGGCTGTCACAGCTTGATTCCCAGTGGCTGTGGAAACGTAGCAACAGAGCGGGTTGACTCTCACCAACGGCTGCTCGTCCACAAAGAGTTGCTGCCCAATGGCTTCCTTGAAGAGTTTTGTTGGAAACCCAGTCTGCTCATCGGCCACGTATTCATAAAGCTCATTTTTCCTGTACACGCCAAACAGGAGGGGAGAAGTGGGGTGATATTAAAATGACTGAACTCCAAAGCCAATCTAAACAAACTACACAAAAGCAGGTTTGTGTTCCTTAGCAATATATATTTAAAAGAATAGAAACTAAAAAAAAACACACAAGAGCAGTCCTTGTATTTTCATATGAACAAAAATGCAATGTATAATGTTTACATTTAAATAATTACAGGTATTGAATTGTTTTTTTTTCCCACTGAAAACATTCCTTTGCAATTAAATTAATGACAGGTAACAATAAATCAGCAGTGTTGGAGTGCAAACAAAAATAATTGGTTGGCGAGCGGAAATATGCGGTGCCAATGCCGAGACAAAACTACTTCACTATTATTTTCTGCTTGACCTAAGCTGAGCAGGCATCTGGCACCAATCGACAGGTCAAGCAGATGCTACTTTACCTTCCTGGAATTTAACTTCTGCAAGTAGAACACTTCATTATTTGGTTTACAAAAATAAGTTTACCCGCCAGCAGCAACAGTGGTGCTCAAATGATAATCAGACTGACATTTATACAAAGCTGTAGAGGGTTAAGGATTCACCTCCTTAGCTATTTAATGAGTTATCCCGATGCAGGGTCACGGTCTGGTTCAAGAACAATGATATTTAATGTTCCGGTAAATGGTAGCACCTACAACTGGCTGTAGAGTCAACATCAACCCATTACACACAACATACACAAATCTAAAAAAGTGGATTCTTTCACGATTTGACACACGTATTATGAGCTTAAAAATCGACATCAATTGATTAATCGTTCCATCACTTAAACAGCAGCATCATCGGGCTTCAATGAAGTGACCCGCTCAGGCTGATGTCCGATTGTGGTTGAAAACACTAAACATACTGCATCGACTACTCGGCAAGAGGTCTCACCGCCTTCTCTGCACACTCCTTCACTACCAAGGCCTAGGGAATGCAATGTTGTTAATTTTCTCGGCCAGTCCTTGAGACTGCCCGAGGGGGTTACACAAGAGAGGTTGAATTTGAGTTTAGCGGTCTTACCACTTGACAGTGAGCGAGATGAAGAACTTGAGCTGGCCCTTCCCTACACAGGTGTGGCAGGAGCACTGGCCAGTTCCACTGCAAGTCATGCACCTGTGGACCATAATCATCACTGTCATCATTCTCAACGTGATCGTCATCGTATCATCATCTGGCTTTTCCTTGATTTTATAGTCATGGCCTTCTTTCTCTATGTAGACAGTGTGAGTTATGCATGGGACTTATGATTGTTGTTTTTTCCGTTATCATTGTACTTAACTCTGGATCTTTGTGTCCTGTTACTTGAAAATGTGCGCTCCAGCGTTGGCTTGCTATTTTCTCTGATTGTGGTGGTTTTAATTGTTCCATAGTGATTTTTAATAACTTTAAAATATAAAACGAAGATGAAAAGCATCATGAGCTTAACCTAGAAATAATGGGATTATTAGGAAAATGTATAGAATGGGCCACTCCACCCTTGAGTGAGCCCAGTATTTAAGCGCTATAGAAATTTATTTATTGTCCTATATCACTGTCCAGCAATAGCCTACAACACCTGTTTTTAATTTATGGTAGTCACTCATCCATGGTTATTGTGGGCAGCAGCAGACAGTTCAGCAGATTCTACTGTTGTACTATGTTGGTACATCTCTACTCCCCAACTTCACCAACCAACACTGACCAGCAAGGTTACGTATTATCAACTAACTCCCAAGACCACATGGCTTGTGGAGGGGCCTTCATCCAGCAGTGGACTGACAAAAGTCCTGTAAAATTACATCCATTTTCCATTCTGTATTCACATGTCCATGGAAGCCACCTGAATTTTTAATCGCAAATGCTCAAGATGTTGTCTGCAGAAAACGTCAAATGTACTATTCACTAATTTTTCCCCTGACAATGCAACGACAGTGGGAGAATCACAGAATGTAAATACAGAAAAAAAGGCAGTGCTGCAATATCTTTGAGGTCCGTCGCAACAGTGGTTTATAGATTGGCCGTACATCAAATGCATTTTGTGCAGCATCTGCACATAGAATGTTTTAAATCTTTCAAGCCACCTGCTGTAAATTAACGCGTTGCAAAAACCCAAAGCGTTTTCATTTTTTAAGCCATGAGTTTCCATTTATCTTTTAACCTGGCCTCTAGCTGCAAAAAAAGTGTATGGCAAGAGGATGATCAAACAAATTCCCCTTTGCTGGCACCGATTACATCTGAAGCACATTCAGCCCATAAAATACAAAAAAAACACACGCACAAAGTAAAGCACTCTGCCAACAAAAAAACTTTGATGGGAAATCAGATTGTATAAATCATGAACAAATTTTACATTGGGCTTACAACAAAGATTTGGGTTATACCTAAACATTACATTTAGTAAGACTCTTTGCAGTTATGTCCTATTTGTAAAGGTGACGTTTGGCCAATTCACCTTTGAGTATCTTTGTGAATAACACTCTGAAGAAATGGCGAAGTGGAAAAGAAAAGCATATAAATATGGTAACACAAGGTAGTGACCTCTCCAAAGCCACACCAGCAGTAAACAAATCCGCACATCTCACGGCAGATCTGCCGTGAGATGTGCCAACGTGCGATTACAGGAACAGTGGCTGAGCCACGAACAGCATAGCAGTAAACTGAACTCCAAAAATCCGTTGGAGGCATCAAATAGATTGAACAACACACAATAAGCGTGCATTGTGCGTACAAAGGTCTTTTAGCCTTATCCAGACCATCAGCTCAGAAGAACTGAATACATGCCCATTATTTTGTCATTTAGACCACCAACTCACAGAGTTCAGAAAAGAGACCATGCCAACGGGCAGTAGTGAAACGGATACAACCGTAGATCGGGTTCTGCCCTCACTAGGACTCATCAGCACAGTTCAGTTATCGTTCACTGCTGCTATGTGCTGCAGGGAGCTCCGTATATGGAGAAGACTTTAAAGCAATCCATTGTGAATCGACCGAAGCAAATACTTGTGGACATAGGCTCAGTTGCAATTCAGCAAGGCGTACACAAAGAAGTGGCGGGCAAGTCTCACCTTGTTCTACCCTGCCCACTGCAATGCGTGCACATCTCATCTCCCATTCTGCGACCACTCCCATTGCACTGCCAGCAAGTCACCTTAAGAGAACACATTTTGTTTATTTCAACCACATGTGCCGAGGACTTAGAGAGGGGGAAAAAAGAGACCTAAAAGGCACCCAAAAAAAAGTGTTGGAACTAATTTTGTTTTAGGCGATGTTATATAATTCCCAATGGCAACATAAAATAAAACACAAGTGTAATATACAAACTATTAAAACTGCCACGAGATTAATTTTTATTTAAAAAAAAAGATTTTGGATGGTATTGTTAGAATTTAGATTCATAAGTATTTAAAACAGGTCCTGTTTTGTGAGCAAACATTTGCTTTTGGCTTATGTCAATATTTAATTAATAAATATGTGCAGAAAACCGAATCTAAATGGTGGCAAAGGAAACGAATCTAATTGATGTCTCTGCAGGGTTTAATGATTTGTGTCTCCACCTTCCTCCTCCCTGGTGATTTGATTACCGTCACATTGCAGGGTCACGATTCGATTCGACTCTTTTTGTTAACACTGCCGAGTCTAACGGCCTATCGTGGCTGCAGCGGTCAGCTGAACCCACTATCTAAAGCATATGAATTGGAAAACACCGATTCTTACAAACGTAATACGATGCACGTATCGTTAGTGAAGAGATAGTCATATTCGATGTATGCTTCGAAATGCCTGTCGTGCCAATGTACAAAGACTGGAGTAATGATTTTAAGCGTAAACTCCAAAGTAAAACTGTAATGTATGCTTTATAAAAAAAATGTGCTTTGTTTCTTCACGCTAAACGATAAGTAAAATGTTAACAAAACGAGTGAGAAAATAATTAACGAATGCCGGAGTAAATGCCCTTCTACAAATTCCAGAGAGAAAATTGCTAAATGTATAGTTAACGTAAATCACACTTCGCTCACATCCATTTGAAAATAATAATCGTAGCCAATTAATGGGGAATGTAAATACAACTAGATACACACACACAAGCCTCTCAATGCAATGACTGTTCACATATTTTTCTAGATTTTTTTTTTGTAAACGGAAGTAACGTATTCCATCACTATTATGAAATCCAAACACACCATATTTGTTCAAATACTTTTCTTCGTGCAACTTCAAATTGCGTTCACACATACTTCATGATGGGCATCACAACTTAAAAATGCGATTTCCGCACATTTCTTTTTCATTGACTTCTGGCCAAACCAAGAAATGCTAACAAATTGGGATAGATGAGAAGCTTAAGACTGAGCATGCAACTTACTCTTCCAAGGGCTGTGCACTTTGAGCACGGCTTGCGTGCCATGCCAAGGCAGTCGTTGCAAGGCTGCAACGGAAGGAAACAAAGCGAGTCAGCGACGCTGCAACCAAAACACAAAAAACAAAGTCGATTGATGCGCGCATTCCCAAAGCGTTTCCTCAAACGTTTAGTCGAGTGGCGCGATGGTAACTGGTGGCGTTATCCAAAGGAAACTGTGAGGTGGTGTAGCACCTCCGATGTGTTTTTCGGTTGTACCGCGTGCTGTTCGGTACGATGCCCGACTGTATGAAGCACCTAACATTCTCCCTTGATTACATGAAGTTACTAGCTGTTGCTGCCAGTACAGAGGGTGCCACAGTGGCAAGATGTTAACTACCTCGCCTGTTATTCAGGAGGTTGTGGGTTCGATCCTGACCCTAATGCCTGTATAATTTGGAGTTTGCGTGTTCTCCCCGTGGTAGCGTGGATTTGTCTCCGGATCGTCCAGATTTCCCTCCACGTTTAGAGACATGCGAGAAGAGTATTTGGCTCCTATAAATTTCCACATGATAAGCCACTTCGTTGAGCGATCATTTGTGGCCAGGTCGTTTCTGGTAAAATAAAAAAAATAGTTTAAATAGTTTATATAGTATGATGTAGGCCATCTAATGTTTATGTATTGTGTAGGGCTATGGTAGCCAATGTGTTTATTCATTTATTATATAAAACGGCAGCAGCAGCAAGAAACTTTATAGAATCAATGGAGAATGTGAGCTGCTTCCTTCAGTTTTCAGAAGAAGCTCCCAGCAATGTGAGGCAAAACGTTGGACATCGTGTTGAACAGTGTGCGGTAAGATCCAAAATGCATCAGAGCGCTATGCAGTACAAGCGCAAAAAACCTTTCAGATGTATATGCATATATATGTATATATATTACATCTGGCATGAATGCATTTTAATCTTGACTTAAAGCTTTCGTAACTGCAGGAATTAATATTCTTTGGGTCTTTCGGTAAAGTCACGTATATACGTGACTTTAGATACGTGACTTTACCGAAAGACCCAAAGAATATGCATTTTAATCATTCCAGGGTTTTGCAGGATATAAATTATTTAAAATGTTAGAGGCACACATCTACTTGAAAAAGAAAACTGAGAGGGGAGTAAAAGGAATTTGAAACACACTGGGTGCCTATTTAAATAACAGCTCTTAACACTGACGTGATAAAAAAAAACTGCTGACTAGGAATTCAGGAAAATCCTCATTATGTAGAGTTTGAGGCAAAAAAAAGAACTGGACATGTGTGTTTTTAAACTTAGTTCACCAATGACAAACTTAAATTGCCTTAGCAGGGCTGACGGCCGGAATGCCGTACAATAGATGAAACAAATAAGTTAAGAGGAATTCACTGCCGAATGTTTTTAAGAACAAATTGGCCTATCTTAAATCAAAAGCAAACGCACGATTTGGTGATTCTGCATTCTGGCAGTGGTGCACAAGCAGACGCAACATAGAACTCAACACATTTGCAAATAACACTGTGGCCTTAAATGTATGGCAATGGCCCTCCCTTCCTCATAGCATATGCATTTACATGTCTTTATAATGAAATTAAACAATGGAATGAACCAATATAAATATAAGTGCTCTGAAGATGGACCATAAAATATACATCTATTAGCTCTTTCTCAGAGGTGACCTGGCCACGCATGATAGCTCATCGAAGTGGCTTATCTCATCATTATATGTCGTAATGTATAGCTGCACACAAATAATCTAAACATATGTTACTCAATGCTTTGGGCAATATCAGAGGACCTGAAGAAAAATCCACGTGACCACGGAGAGAAAAGAGATGAACTCCAAATATACAGGCATCAGGGTCGGGTCGGGATCGAACCCACGACCACCTGTGCACAAGGCGTAACTCTCATTACAATAAAATAAATAATATACAGCCCTCTATCAATCCACTGGTGGATGAACATCCCCCCCCATGCTGTTTCACTCGTGGGGGTTTTTGACCATGCTTCACCACGCTGGTCAGTGCGGGTTGGTAAAGGGGGTGCGCGCGCCTAGACCAGGTCAGATATCACTCGCCATCGATGTTAGATATTGACAGAGAATCGAACTCAGTACGCCAGTTTCATAGCTCAGTGCGCTAACCCACTGTGCCACCGCCACATCCAGGGTGGTAACTTGACAGGCAGATGAATGTAACAAAGGTAAATGTATTCTCGCATTTCATGGGGAATTTAGTTAAAGATGTTTTACCAGAAAAGCGTAAGGCATGACTAACGGTGACATGTTAGCTCGCTCACACAACCACGTGCTTCATTTGACCTATAAGTGACCTTTTGTGATCCTACAGAAATAACAAATATTATGCGGTAAATCTGAAACTTGCAAGCGAAGAGCAGACCGCGACGTGATATTCGTTGCATTAATTCGTGTGCAATTTGTAAGGGCGCGGTGACACATACCTATTTCATTTAAAGGTTATAATCCCTTGCTCATCATGACGTCCTTTTTACTTTGATGTCTCAATAGCGTTATAGAGGTCGCGTGACGTGTGAGTTCTGCCTTTGTAGTGAGGGTTGTCAGTTGACGCCTAGGAGGGGGGAGGAGCCTCGGTCCCCCATGTGGAGTGACGTCACCCGCTAATTATTATTAATGGTGGGGGGGGGTGTCCATTTGGAGGACATCACCTTATAATGATTATTAATGAGGGGGGCTGTTCGATGTGGAGTTACGTCACCTGCTCATGATTATTACTGAGGGGGGAGGGTGCTCCATGTGGAGTCACGTGACCTGCTCATGATTATTAATGAGGGGGGCTGGTCGATGTGGAGTGATGTCACGAGCATTAAGGACAGACATTCCTGGGTGATTATAGTAGGTATGCTGGAATTATTTCCTACATTTTATAGGCTTGTTAAAGTGTTCCATTGTTTATCTGATAATATAAACCAAGAGTGAAATGCCACATTCCTGTGGCAGTAGATAATGCATTTTATAGATTCAGATACCCAGTTATATATCTGACAATATATTATTATGCTAGTTTAAAGAAAACCTCATTTATTCATAAGAAAAATATCTACATCTTAATCTTATTCCATGGCATCTTATTTAAATTATAGATTCAGGCAGAAGTGTTCACGCTCACGAGCTATTTCACTACGCAGATTAAATGCAATATCTTATAATGCATTATAGTCCTATCTCTCCTTACAGTCAAGCCACCATATGTTTTGTGTTCGGGGGGGAGGGGGGGGGTTCACAAATCAGTGGTGATGTAACAAAAAGTAAATCTTGCAACGTTTTCGCAAAGCTGTTGCCCCCGTATTATTCTGCATGCCACGGTTGAAATTGAACAGGAATCCTAATCATTTGGCCGAAAATCAGTCACTTTTCTGCAAGAAAGCCTGTTTCGGATTAGACGTAGCACTTGTGGCTTGCGGCGGCAGAGGGGGCACAATCCAAGGGCATCTCATCCCCCGCCTGCCCCCTCCCCACCCCCCATTGCTCCATTCCGCTTAGCGAAAATTTAGAGAAATAAACAAAACCGACAATGTGTGTTTCCATATCCTCCCATCCCTTATGCTCACAGGTTAAGCTGGTAAACGAGCGGTCGTATTGTGACAAGTGTTACACTGGCGATTTGCAAAGCAAAAACTATTTCGCCTCTGTTCCCTCAGCAGGAACAAAATGTGCCACCCGCAATCAAAGTAATGCAGCGCTTACTCCACGTGATAATTTACTGTGTCAACTAGTGTGACAAGCTGTGTCATGTCCTAAGCACACAAAAATTCACCCTTCCAGCGTGGTACTATCAATTGTCACAATTTTGGGTTGTGGCTCAATTCGAGCATTAATTATTGTTGTGTCATTTATACTACTCGTCTCAATTGGTTCATCTTGTTCATCGTTTACAGCCGTTTGTCAAGCTACTCGTAAATGAAGCTCCTTCCCACACCACGTGAAACACTTTACCCGTGCTACTTATTCAGACATTAACTGATCGGCTAATAATACGTTTGAAATCCACCCACCCGAATAGAAGATGTGTTGGGAACAGGCACTTTTTTCTTGTCCGGAGTGAACATGCTCGGTGTATTGACCAAGATGTCCCACGGCAGAGGGGCTGGTTCATAATGGACAGCTTCCGACGGGTTCCCTGCATGCCATCAAAATGTTAATTACAACGACTAAAACTGAAATGTCATACATTACAACCACAAACACTTCATATTAGCCTTTTAAACAACACAGTGAAAGAGACAATGTAAATAAACACAAAGCTCTTCTTGTTGTTGATACAATAGCAAGGCTTTGTCTTCCAGACAAGCGGACACAAATTTGAAGTTTCGTTATTAGCGGCGCACTGTGCTCCAGTCTGCCAATATAGCGCTCTCTTGAGGTATGTACGATGAATTTATTTTGCACCGTACGTAGTCAACCGTGATAATCGTAGGTGCGATGCACTGCATTGACATTGTATGGCAGTGACATCACCAGATCCCTATTTTGTACCTACGAGATAAAAGTATATAAATTATTTGGTTCGTCTTCCTTTAACACAAAGCCAACGTGAAATATCTGAAGGATGCGTAAACAAAAATATGCTAACAGATGCATGACAATGTCTGAAAAGTTTGCCTAGTGTTTCTGATATTTTCAAACTTTATAGGGTGTAAGTAAAAGCACAGATTGGAAATAAAACACAACTCTGCTAAGCCTTAGAATGACATATTAAGAAAAAATAAACGTAGCATGCTGAGAGACATATCTAAAAAATATATATCAAACGCATTTTTTTATGCTTCATGAATTTTTTACGAAACGATAAAAGTGAGTTACGGTACCGCTGAACGGCTCGTGTTCCCAGGCTGTGGTCCGCTCTTCGGTGAAAGTCTCCAGATGATACTACGCAAATAAAATAACACCAACAAGATATATAGTTGTTCATGTAACCGCGTCTGAGTCGTGTAAACCCATTGAGATTTCCAGCAGCTATGATACTTGTAAAAGCTGCTTTGGTGTTTGAGAACGCTAAAATCTACATCGCGATGGGCCGATGGCCATATGGGGGGGGGGGGTGCTTTAAAACGTTTCTTTCAGTCACTTAACCGATCAACTTTTTAGAAAAATTGAGCGGGCTTGAGCAGGTGTGCAAAAATAACTACCAGGTGACAACCAAAGGAGAGAATGCACCCAAAAGGTACACCCATCGTCAGAGATTAATCGATGAGACCGGCAAGTGCTCAGTGGATTGTTGCATCGCAAGATCGTGGCAAACCGCTTGGGGAGGCGGCCTTCATCTACCAGTGGGATTGATCATGGCTAAAGATGATGCACCAGTCGGTAAGAATGAGCGTAAATCTTGGGGGGAAATTTGCATCTTGACGGAACAACCGAAACACATCGCGCCTTGGCGATTTGCACCATCATTGGTGATGGAGACATTAGCACATTTTCACTCGGAGTGTGATGAAAACTCAGAAGCTAAGCACGGCCGAGCCTGGCGAGTGCTTGGATGGGCGACCACCATGCACAGACAGGTCGTCATAGGTCTTGTGTGGTTACGCAGTGGGCAGCACAGGGCGGTATAGAAAAATCCATTGTTGTACTGTACTTCAATGCTCCCCACCTTCACTGACCTACACTGACTAGCATGGCAAAATATGGGTAAATATTCCACAACAACCAGTGATGTACATATACATTCAGTTCATCAATCAGTGCATGCAGGAGGAACAGAGACATGCGAGATTGTAAGGATAATGATTTTTATTTATGGACCGTTTCCTCAAATGCCTCAGAATCTCAAAGTGCCTCAGATCAGATCTTATCTCAACCGTCCCATCGCCCGACAGCCATGAAGCCAAGGGGACCCCAGTGGCAGCTCTCCTTATGGAACATTTGGTGTATGCAGCACCAGCTTGCAAATGGGGGGTATAGTCTGCCAGGAAGGGGTGATGTTGGTATGTGGTTTTCCCAATTTAAGTAATGTGTCAGTAGTTTTTCAAATTTGGCAAAGTTGGACCATGACGCCAGCACACACGGGCCAACTCTTTTTTTGAAGAACGTCAATGGTTTCTTTAACGTCCACTCGTTAATACTCCCGCAGAATCGTCGACCTTGGAACTGTCAACCTCTGTGACAAGCGGCAAATGCGCTGCCACTCGTTAAGGAAGACCTGAACGTTATCTAGGACTGCTAGCGATGAAGGCACGCTCACCCGGTAGGTGTTGTGCGGGAGGAGCTCGGTGAAGACCATGCCATTCACAGGCTCCTTGCTGTAGCAGCACTTCGAAGAGACAAACTGCATCAGCGCCTCCTTTGCCTCCTCCTCGCTGATGGCCGGGATGCTGTGTGGTGACAAACGTTGATTAATGGATATCACTCACGAGCATAAAAACTGTGATTCAGAGGGCAGCCACCCCTCCTCCCACTTCTCTTCCCCTTCTCGACCCCTCTTATCTCCCTGTCACCTGTCCCACTCTTCCCCTCTGTCACACACCCTCCTTGTATTTAAGATACTTCTTCCCATTTGTTATCCTACTTCGTCTTGCATAAGATTATTGTGCATCAAAGGAAACTTTTTATTGCTTCTCCTGGAAGATGTTTTAGTGGTGGTCTTCCTCTTCTTCCAGATGCCACTTGGCTAGATTCGAAAGTTAAGTTTTTTGTTTGTTCATGAGTTGATTGGCAAACAGAACTGTCCTTCGTACATAATAGACAATGAGTCATTAAAGAATACATAGATGCCCTTTATTTATTCACTCATCGACAAAATACTTTTTCAGGAGGGTCCCGCATTCCACACGATTGTTTGGCTTGTGGGAGGAAAATGGAATATATGGATAAAACCGTGCTTACTGCAACACCGAAGCTCTACACTGTCATCTCTTGGTCAGAGTTTGGAAGTTGCACAACTTTGTGCGATCAACCAACCCTCACATCCAAAGTGCTAGACTTAACAGGTGTCCTACCATGCATTAGAAACACACAGAGTATGTTGTTATAACGCGAAGCCTTGGCTGGCAGGGTGTTACAGAGGAAGCACTCGTGCCTCACGGCGATAAGGCCCTGGGTTTGATCCCCAACTCAGGCGCCTTTGCTGTGTTTAGTTTACATGTTGTCCCCTCTCTCCTCCAGGATATCGGCTTTCTTCCCATAGCAAAATTCAATCCCAAACAATGTAACTGGTATTGGACAAACATGCCAATGCTGAAAACATTATCTGCAAATTACTCAATTGGGATCACACGCAGCAGCATTTGCTCTCTACTCCGAATCATTGGTAGGACCCTCCTGACAATTATACGGTGAATCTAAATACTTAGACTCAATTAGCTCGGTGCTCAGATAATTTACCAATGTTCCAGATGGCCATTTGTTGATTTCATAGAAAATACTAGCTGTACTACCCGGCTTCGCCCGGGACTTGGATCCACCACGCCCGGCCGCCTTTGTCTCCCCAGTGGCGACGTTCACACACCACACCAGTTAGTCGTTTGAGGCTGAGTCGACCTAGGGGAGGCCCAGGACCGGTTAAAATAATCGTCACCGGTGGTGGCCGTGAGCGGGAATCGAACTCGGGTCGCGGGGTTCGTAGCGCAGCGCGCGAATCGCTAGGCAGTCCCCCCCTCCCACACACAGGATAAAGACAAAATCCCCCGTGTAGCCTGTAGGGGGCAAGTGCTGTTAGTGAGCACCTATGAAGGCCGGCACGGCACACGAGGGGGTGGGTGACAGCAGCACACCCGGCCGCCTTTGTCTCCCCAGTGGCAATGTTCACACACCACAGCAGTTACTCGTTTGAGGCTGAGTTGACCTAGGGGAGGCCCAGAAGCAGTTGAAATAATCGTCACCGGTGGTGGCCGTGAGTGGGAATTGAACTCGGGTCGCCGGGTTCGTAGCGCAGCGCGCTAACCACTCCACTACAATGCGTTACGCTTCCACATGCGCGGGTCACGTGACATATTTGACGTCACAGCTCACTTGCCGTGCAAAAAAAAATATGCATTATTGAGATCCCCCCCCCCACAAAAAAAAACGAAAAGTGTATTTTTATAATTTTTGCATTGTGTACAGTCTGCAAAGTACCCACATGACAAATTTCCAGTTTGTTGCATGTCGGGAAGTACTCTAACATTTTGAACAGATACACATTCACAACTATGCCTTTTATATATATGGAGATAAGCTAAATGTGCACTGCACTGTAATTTGGAGAGTACAGAGCAAAGGTAATTGACTACTGGTCTAAATGACCGCATGGAGATCGCAAGATCATTTTACACCATGAACACATTAAGTATGCTCCATAAGATGCCACTGAATGTTCCTAATTCATGCTAATTATGAACTAAATGTTTTAGTAGGATGATCTGAACCAGTTTCACTAGCCGAGATATGCTTGACAATTACATACACGATTGTATGCTAATTATATACAATTTGAATTTATAAAACGAATATACACAACAAAATCTCGAAACACTAAATAATCCAGATTATCTAGTGCTTGCCTGTGACCATGCGCTCGGTTTTGTACAGCTTCTTGAGATAGATGTGTGGCATGAATTCAAATTGTAAAATTGGACACTTTTAACTTAGGTGTGGAGATCCAGTGCCCTCTGGCGGCAGAGAGCTAGAATGGCAATTGTGCTGCTCATTAATATCTTTATGGCCATAAATACATCTTGGCACTTTTGCACTTTGCAAATGAATGAATTATGATGTAGCAGCACTACGCTCAGGAATTATAGCCTTAAAATAGGGCACCACCATTCTTATTTACAAACACTGCCTTATAACTAAAAAATATAGTTCGTTTAAACCATGTGCTGCCCATCCACACACACAAAGTGTGCAAAATGAAATATCCCCTGTATAGCCTTGTAGAACGCCGAAGCTTTTGCCGTTTGCGAGCATGAGCAACTGTTAAGGCCCGAATGTGGGGGAGATGTGGCTTAGCAACAATGCCCAGATGCCTTTATCTCCCCAGAGCTTACATTTATACACTGTGCAAAGCACTCATTAACAGATAAGCCAACCCTACAGGAGGCCCTGCACCAGTTCAGATATCACATCATTTCCGATAGCCGTGGCATGCAAATATACTCAGGTCGACAGGTGCATATCGTAGTGAGCTAACCATTGCACCACTGGTCCAAAGACAAAGATTCCTCGTTTATCTTTGGGCAAGTGCTGTTAGCGAGCACCTATGAAGGCCAGTTCGTCACACGAGGGGGTGGGTGGTCAGGACCATGCCTTTGTCTCCTCGGTGGTGATGTTTACACACCGCACCAGGTACTCATTTGAGGCTAAATCGACCTAGGGGAGGTCCAGAACCGGTTCAGATCATCATCACTGGCGTTGGCCGTGAGCGGGAATTGAACTCGGTTGGCCGAGTTTGTAGCGCAGCGCGCGGACCGTTGCACTACTGCTCCCCACTGCTTCCTACACACACAAGTATACATAATGGACTTGCAAACCCAACTGTGACCGTCAATACACACCCTCATCACACTCCTCTCCACCTAGGCCTCGCAAATGCCATACAGATCTTGTCTTAATTTATAAAGCGCCTTGACTAAGGCGTCGCATAAATAATTTGATATTTGTACAGCAAAAGTGTGATGAGATGTGTTTGTGAGAAGGATGGTCGTATATGAATATGTTTATACATGAAATAAACAATGATGGAAGAGACAATGAGTGGTTGATGAGTGAGTGAGTGAGTGTGATGAATGGGTAGGGAAGTTGAGAAAGGGGGTGATGGCGTTAATAATGGAGGGAAAAGAGGAGTTTGGGTAACGGAGGGAAAAATTGTCAGTTTTAAGGGAAGAACGAAAAATGGTCAGTGAAGCTGATTGTTTGACGTGTAGGAGCAGCTTGCTTCAGTGTAAGGGGGCCAGAAGCAAAAATAATGGACTCGTGATTGGGCACAAGGAGGATGGGGAATAGACAGGTATCTCCATCTCAGCATCTGGAATATTGCTGGTTATTGTGTTGGACTGTAAATTGGGCTGTGTACGTATTTGTCCACCTTGTTCCCCCCTCCTCCCCTTGGTAGGTTCTATGCCTACTTAAGCCAATCACGATAATGAGTAACTACAATTTTATGATAGCCAACCTTGATTGCCTTGCCTTGCCACAGCTGAAACCTCTGAAGCATTAAATAAATACAATTTGGATTTACATTGTGCCTAAAGCCAACTGGATTTAAAAATGCTGTTGTTGTTGTCGGCATTGTCCTTCTTGCATGAAGATGATGCTGCCGACAGGTCTCATGTCTTGCGTGTGCGTCTGTGTCTGTGTGGACCCATATGTGAACGGCAGTCTTTCCCACTTGTAGCTTAATGTTTGAAGGAAGGTTGCCACGTTGAGATTTTAATTGTTCAAGAAGCTGTACAAAAGTTGAACGTGTGCTTTAGCGAAACCTCTGAAAAGGGGGGTATATAGATAATATACTTTATGACAAGGTGTGATTGAACAGAATCCGTAGAGAAGAGAAGTCAGCAATGGGTTAAGGTAAAAAAAAGAGTTGAGCATGAACTTGAACTGGGGCAGGAAGTTGGCAGCATAGATGGCCGCAGGAGGGAATTCCAGACAATGAGGGCAACTGCAGAGAAGGAACGACATCCAAGCGAGTGAAGGCTGACTTAAGTGTTTTAATAGGAAAGTTTGGTTGCAGGATCAGAGAGCAAATTAAGGGGAGCAGAGTGATATTTGAGGGGAGAGATTGGCCAATCAGATATTGTGTCCACACTTATTGTCATACAATATATTAACATTTCAAGGAGCAGCCCTTTTTTAAGTTATATTTCAAAAGGAGCCCGGTACGGAGACGTGAGAGTGGGGATGGGTATAGAAAATCCGTGGCCCTCAGTCCCGAACACTACACATCTGGGTTTAAAGAGGGGGGGGGTAATGTTTCTTGAGCTGAGCAAGGTTATGATAACTTAAAAAAAAAACCTGATCGAAGGGAATTCCAAAGTCGAGAGGTGCAAGGGAAGAAACAGGTACACAAAGTGTTTTGACCCGCGGTGCGGTAGTGTGTGTTGTCCTCTGGGAACTTAAATACCTGTAGGTCTGCGGAGGGCCATTGGGCCGTGGACCCGGCTTTGGCAGCATCCCATCAGGTGGTGGCACATTGTGGTCTAGGAGAACACAAGACAATAATAACACCACTCTCAGTTGTGTTCCTTCATTGGACCGGATAACAACACTTACCTGTGGAGTTCAGTCAAAGCAGGTCACGTACACATGTGTATGTACGTTTAACTTCTATCGTACCGTACGTAGCTAACAGTGCTAATCGGAGATGCGTTGGAATGACAACATACTAAACGCAAAAAGCAGTTCTCGTGAAAAGTTTGAGAACTTAAAAGTGCATATCTCCAGTGGCTTCCTAATATCGTAAAGAAGGGCGTTCCAGACACCCGCTGAAGCGCATCTGAAAGCTGATGATGCATTGACCATCTTTGTTCGATGGCCAGGCAAAAGCCATGCATGTGTACAAGATTTGTACATATGCAAGTACAAGTCTTTTGTCATCCCTGCACTGTGTAGGTTATGGGGGTTGTTCGACCATAACTACACTATGCAGGGTAGTGGGGGTTGGTGAAGGCATGGAACGTAGATATGGCAGCATACAACCATGGATTGTTGCTGCACTTCTCTCTACAGCACACCACATTGTCACCCCCCGCCCTCCCCCGCAGCCTATAACACCTGTTTAATACACAGTAGTCACACAGCCAATCACTTTCTAGGCTCAATTATGCTTAGCTTCTGAGACGTGATGAGATCAGGCGCACTCTAGGTTATTTGGTCATAGGCCATAGCAGGTGGCTTTATCAAAAAAACTGGGTTAGTGACATGCAAACAGTCCATCAAGGTGCTAAAGTTTCCTGAAAGGAAAAATAAAAACATTGTGGGTGTACACATGTAGCCGTTTCTGCAGGATATCACCGTGGCATAAGCTCTGCCATATGGGTTATACAAATGGCTGTGTCTGCACTTTCTCACGCCAGTCGTCACAAACCACCATAGTACAACATTTCACATTCACCAATCTCTCCCATCGAAATGGCAATTGAGTCATTACATGAAGTACATGTTTTTTTTGGTTTCGAATGGAAAATGGAAGAGAAATATATTTCAATTAAACACATTTGTTATGTAATTTACTGCCCTTTTAAAATGTATTGTAATGTTTGTGTTATTATGATGTTAATGTATTTAATAGCCTATTTATGTATTTATTTAAGGCAATTTATTCCAAAGATAGGTTTTCGTAGGACAATATCGTTATCCGTGAAATTTGATATTCACGAGCACCTCAGGAAGGTATTCCGCGTCGCGAACTGGCCACACTGTACCTCGCCATGCTGGTTAGTCCAGGCTGGTGAAGCAGGGGTCAGGATTGGGAGGGGTGCTCAAGATAAGTTCAGCTATCACTCACCACTGGTGCTAGCCATGGCCAGGCCAGATTGTCAACGTTAATATATCCAGAAATATGTATTAAACATGCTCGCTGTATTGTTTTACAGCATATATATAATATATCAATTTTTATTTTTAAATATACCTAAACATATAGTTAAGATGATACCATATACAACATTTCAATGGCCAATTTCAACGAGTGAAATGTAAAACGAGAAAATATTAAGTATTTCACATTTGCTGATGACATTTTCACGATAGCAAACCAATGGAAATGAATTCCAGGAAATGATAACATTACTCAAGGAGACTAAAAATATTTGTTGGGATCGACATACGAGGAAAACATGAAGATATGTTTATAGCTATATGTATGTTGAGTTTCTTTTGCATCGTACGTAGCCAACCATGTGAATCGAAGGTGCACACGCCACCCTAGCGCTTCTATGAATATTGCAACAATGACCACGCCGCTATTTTAGAATACTCGGAAATTCCGTTACACTCAAGCGACCAGCAACAAACAGCGCTGTTAAAGTTGTCATAGACATATCTACCTTTCTTGCGGAATATTCTGTGAATGGGAGTGGCGAAAACCAGAGTTTGGAAAGCCCCATCACGGACGTGTCGAGGAAGCCATACAACAGCTCCCAGCGCCGCCATGTGGTTCTGAAGGGGAGCAGAGGCGGTGACTCACCAGGGCCCATGGGTGTCCCCTCGTAGCCGGGCATGTTTGGCGGGGGTGCCGACGGCGCCGAAGGCATGGATGGAAGACCTGCCGCTTCTCCTGTCATCGGGTCCTGCGAGCCTGCGATACGAAACAACAACAAAAGCAAAGAGTCACCGACTTCACAGCTAGCAGCAGCTGCAGTGCTGTGCCAGAAACTAAAATCTCTCGGTTGAGCGATTTAAGCTAGCGAGAAAGTTAAGAACCGATGTCCTACCCATTTACAAATGATAGAGATCTCATCAGATCCAGGATAAATGCAGGCCAGTGTGTCTACAACCAACAGATAAATTATATGTAAACAACACTTGTAAACAGCAGAGGGCAGTGCAGAAAATGCCATTGTTAGCACGTCTATGCTTCCATGTTCGATGCTCGCCACCTTCACCAAATAGCACTGACCAGCACGGTGAAGTATGATCGAATAACCCCCAGACCAGCATGGTGCGGGAGGCCCTCATCCAGCAGTGGATTGATACAAGGGCAATCGAAGTGCAAATATTTTTTTTGTTTTATACAGAAGCGGGAATAAATGCAGGGGGCATTTTAGTGCTTGTAACATTGGACAGCTTCAACATGGATATGAAAACAAATATTACATTATAATGTTAAGTATCTAGCAACCATGTATGAAAGTATATATCAATGTAATCTGTATAATTGTCTGCCAACTTATCATCACATGGGTTAATCAATTATCAGCTTATGCCCACTGATCAATGGTTTCCAAAGTAAGATTGTCATTAATCTACAAGAAGCCAAAGTGATCTAAAGTTACATTACACAGGATCAACAGGGTGTATGCTTAAAATAAATCCAGAATTGTGTCCGTATCTGCACATGCACACAGTTATAAATGTCACTCCAGTATTCAGCGTTACGCATTTCTGGCTCAAAATAAAGTTTCCACGAGCGTACAACATTCGAACTGCGCAGTCAGGAACAAAGTCGGGGGAGTGCTATCGAACACAACACTTGTTTCCTGCCTCCTACCGCGTTGCTTCCATGGCCGCAGCTGTTCAACGCACGTTCCAATGCTCGCTCCCCCAAAGGTCAATCGATTAACTTCACGCACAACACACTAGCCTATCTCAACGTTCGGCGAGCAGGAGATCTCCACTGTGATGAATTACGGTTATTGCATACCCACTGGAGAGTTAATGTCTCATTGGGCTCTAGCAGGGCATGGTGGCACTTGATTATAATCCAGGGGTTTGAAGGCAAGGGTCGGTGGATAAACAGGACCCACTCAGATGTGAGGTTACCAGTATATGATTACATTGGTTGAACAGTGGTAACATTTGTGCCTCAGAGCAAGAAGGACATGGGTTCGATTCCCCACTCGGGTGCCTTTGTGTGCAGAGTATGTACTCCCTTGTTCTGCATGGGCTTCCACTGGATTATCCAATTTCCTCCCATAAAAAAATAACATACAATATAATTGTTATTGGCCAAACATCCCAATGATGAAAAAAAATACCTGAAACTTACTCAATTGGGAATACAAATAGCAACGTTGCCCACTCCTGAAAAAGGACCGCCCTGAAAAAAAATTGAGACTCAGTGAAGCTTTTCTGGATAAACAAGTGGGGTTGGCGAACCCATTTTTGCAGACAGCGTGTTACCCCTTGGTAGACGAGTGTTTTATCTGGATATACTGGATACCTCCCACATTCAAACACTCCATTTAATAGACAGTGCCAAATATCCCAATGCAGGACCTTCCTGAAAAAAAAGTATTTATCCTCAAGGCTTTGCTGGATAGATTACACACTCATAATATAGGCCGTGCTATAACATAGGTGCTCAGAGCATGGAATTTCAAATAGTTTATACCAGGATATAATAAAACAGTGGTGCTTATGCAGACACTGAAGTTGCCTCGTACTATTTCTGCAAAACTTGGTCAAGTAACCTATATGGAGAGACAGATATGCAAAAGAGACAAATAGTCTGCTTATCTGTTAAGATTCTCCACAAAAAAACCTCATGATTATTTTGAGTTTTGTAGGATATAATGTTACATCAAACAAGGACCGATATATTTAAAGAAAGGGTCCCTGCCAGTTCACCAGTAATGACTCAAGGAAGCCTGACTGCTGATGATACATTGTGTTAAAACCGGTTCTAATTTTTTCATCTGAATGCTGCTATTCAAGCACTCCCAGAAGCCTGTGGGGCGTTTGGGATGTGTATAAAACGCTTTAATTTGTATGTGGAAACACGAATATATACCTTTCTGTTATTTGTATTCTCCGCAACAATGCTAATAATTGTATTCAGTTATGTGTTTATAAAACAAAACTCTTGCAGGATTTGGAAATGAGAGGCAGACATTCAGATGAGGAACTTGTGGGCGGAAACTCTCTCAGCCCGTCTCCCAGATTTAATAGGAGAGGATGCACTTTTAAGCTGTACTGTATAACCCATTGTGGTCACTGTTTCAGTACTGTACTGTTCTTTACAATGTGATCATTAAACAGAGCCACTCCTGAGCACATTAGTTAAGGGCCACTATCATAATGTCAACAGCTTCTGTACACGTGTATACATCATGTGTGCTTCTGGGAAGAAAAGTGTGTGTATATATAGGGGGTGTAAAGGATGCATCGATTCATCAAATCATTTAGATTGTCTTAATGCTCATCATACGTGCATCACATAAACACGTGTAAGAATTGATGTTTTTAAATTAATGTACATTTAGGCTGATGGATCGAACAAACGTGTAGAAATACACAGGGGAAAAAATGACACAAAGTACAAATGCCAGAATCCATACTCTTTGGTTCTTTCGGTAAAGTCACGTAGGTAATAAAGAGTAAAACATACGAACAGAACCAGGGGTATAAATAACAACAATTTCCACAACTGCTGGGTTACAATCGCTGCTTTCACCTAACACGTCAAACTTGATGTTTACTCTTTCGATTGGGAGTTTCACAACTGATTATTTACAAGCCCATGTTGACACTATCGGGTGGAGTGGTGGCACAAAGGTTAGCGCATTGCACTTGTGACCCTGGCAACCCGAGTTCAATTCCTGGCCATGGGTTAAGAGCAGTGGTGAGAAATATATGAACGGGTACTGCTCTCCCTTACCAGCCCACACTGACCAGCATGGTGAAGTATGGCCAAACAACCCCCATGACGAAACGGCACGGGTGAGGCCATCATCAAGCATCGGTGGACTGATACACGGGGTTTTCATGACAATTATTTAATATAAACAAGTGCATTATTAGTCAGCGTAGACAAGGAAGAATATGGATGGGCCTAGATATCAGTTGTGAGTGTAAATGGCATCTTAAGAGCCAAGCGCGCGGGTTTGGTTGGTGTATGCTCTAGAAACACAGCGATGAATGAAATCAGCATGGCGATCAGGTGGCATGAACTCAACGCATGCCTCAATAGGCGTTGTTGTGCTCGTCAGACACGTGGAGTTAACCCGACCGGGCAGTGACTGTCAGCGGGAGATGAGACTATCTCATACCTGTCAAAACATTATCATTGCCTACCGTATTACAGACAAATTCAGACCTTATTTGGTCACCCCGTGCCCCTATAAATCTCACCGTGCATCCTACAAAGTGCCATCGCAAGGGAGAAACACAAACAAATATATAAAAAAGATTTTACTATGCGAAAACTGTTTTATTTATTTATTTTTATAACTGGTGTCAATGATGCTACTCATCATACTACTCGTCTGTGATCTTGCATGTTGCTGCTGCTTGCTTGATATGTGGATGCACAACACTCACATACCTGTCAAAGCCTTATCAGTGCCCTACCTTATTACAGACCAATTCAGACCTTATTGGTCACCCCGTGGTGCCCTTATAATTATCAACGTTCATCCTACAAAGTTCCCATCACATGGGAGAAGCACAAACATACAACAAAAATACTTTTTTGCCCACATTGAAACGGCTGTAAGTCGCATGGCCCTGAAATCTCAATTTCCCTGTACAAGAATACTGGGTAATCCGTGTGGGTATGCCATCTCTTGTTACTTTGATTCGGCTTTCCACTGAACAGCACACGACTCGCATTTTCTTCTTTGGTTCTTTCGGTAAAGTCACGTAGAATGAGAATAAAATAAGAAATTGATAAAATAAAATAACACAATAAAATTCTCACGACGTTTCGGCCACAACACAAGCGGCCTTCATCAGGTGAAGGGACGAGACTGTCTGGAGGACAGCGCTGTCACCTGATGAAGGCCGCTTGTGTTGGGGCCGAAACGTCGTGAGAATTTTATTGTGTTATTTTATTTTATCAATTTATTATTTTATTCTCATTCTACGTGACTTTACCGAAAGAACCAAAGAAGATGAATCCTTGCAGTCACGAAAGCTTTAAAACGACTCACATTCTCCTGCGTCGCATAGCAGCCAGCATGCAAGTGAATACTTTCTTAATTGGTCATTTGTTTATCGTAGCATTGTTACTGCAACATCATTGGCGGTGATTACATGACGTTTATGAAAATAAAGTCGTTCTAGAGGCGTGTTTAGTCTTCGAAAATTAAGTGACAAACTGGACACTTGGCGTCTATCTTTATAACGGTTCACCCTTCTGAAACCTACTATACTCGCTATTTACTTAATGGTATCATATGGTTCTTTAACATGCACAAACATGCACGATGTTTAATAAGAAGATGATAAACAATATCAATTATACGGTAACGAGAAAACAGCAATACAACAGTATATATACGAATCGCTGCCTTTAAAGGCGACTAAGTACGTGCACTTATGAGAGTAACGCAACAATATGAATAACATTTAATTAAATTGTACGGCCACAAAATACGCGTTCAATAACATTAATATCACGAAAGAAATATGAATAGGTCTGGCAATAAAACGCATGTTGAGACGTTCCGACACCAAATATAAACCTTTTTTTTAATATTTGCACAGTAAGCTTAAAACACAAACACCGCCAACGTACAGTGCGCTCCGCGTTTAATTTTAAATTGCAAGACAAAGCAACGTAGCAACTTTTAAAAATAAGCGTTATTCGATAACATTTACACACGCACCGTTGATGAAACAATTGCATTCTTAAGCAAGTGACCGACGGCACTTTGCTCAAAGTCTCTTACTACTGCAAGTCTGTTTTAGTGCAAGGATGCCACGTTTTTTTTATTAAAAAGAAAGCCTTTCTTAGTCTGTTAATTGTACAATGAAACACCCAGCGAAGAGAATAAGGCAAGTGGCACACACCGATATCAACTTTCTCACCCACGAACGCCGGGTTTTCCATCTTTCGTTCGTTTCTCTCTCTCAACTCCTCTTTCCTCGAAGACGATTCGCAAAACGTGCCCGTCGTTAAGACGTCCCCGAACAGTGAAACTTAGAATAATAAAAAAAACTACCCCCTCACCACCCCCAACAACCCTAACAACGTACAACCGACGTCCCCCCACCCTCTTCCTCGAGGGAACGCTGAAACAATTGCAATTGTTGCATTTGCCTTCCGTGTTTGAGGGCTTTTTTTCGTGTTGTTATCTGTTCGACAACAGCCGCAAGCCAACCGCCAGAGGTCCCCACCACCACCACCACCAGAGCCCCACCACCCCCAGAGCCCCACCACCACCACCCCCAGAGCCCCACCACCACCACCAGAGCCCCACCACCAGAGCCCCACCACCACCACCACCAGAGCCCCACCACCACCACCACCAGAGCCCCACCACCACCACCACCAGAGCCCCACCACCACCACCAGAGCCCCACCACCACCACCAGAGCCCCACCACCACCACCCCCAGAGCCCCACCACCAGAGCCCCACCACCAGAGCCCCACCACCAGAGCCCCACCACCACCACCAGAGCCCCACCACCACCAGGGGTGCCCACCACCACCACCACAGCTCCACCACCACCCCCAGAGGTCCCCACCACCACCACCAGAGCCCCACCACCACCAGAGGTGCCCACCACCACCTCCAGAGCCCCACCACCTGCACCACCACCACCCAGAGTACCCCACCACCACCCCCAGAGGTCCCCACCACCACCACCACCCCCCCACCACAACCCCACGTCATTTCTTGCTGGGTCCCGGCTCTAGGTAGTCCCCGACTTACGATGGAGATGCGTTACGACGACCCCATCGTAAGTCGAAAATATCGTAAGTCGAAAAATGGCCTTAGCAATTTACAGTACCGCCCTGTATAAACTATATACTGTAAGTATTTATTAATTACAATACTGTATTGCACAGTAAAATTTAAAGTAAAAAAACAAGGGAAATTCTTAGCCTACCTATATGAACTGCAATTTCATAGAAAGGTTTTTTTTAGTAAACAATCCTATCTGCTATAAAAAAAAACTTTTAACATGCATTGAACGTATGTATCGTATCGTGGTAACCCTAAAATAAAATCGCTAAAGCTATGTTATCATACATGCATTGAACGTATCGTAACGTATCGTATTCTACTGTACTCATCAAGATTCTGTCCGTCGTCTGCATACTTGAACGATGTTTAGGTTGTTGATGGCTACATTAACTTAGTTGTCGGAAAAGGAGGATGGCGATGATAAAGTTACAGCATCGTGCGCTGCTGCGTTTGCCTGGCGCGCGAAATAAAAAAAAATATTTTACAATTTTGTCAAATCGCCATCGTAAGATCGAAATATCGTAAGTCGGACCATCGTAAGTCGGACCATCGTAAGTCGGGGACTACCTGTGTGTGTGGGTGCCAAAACACAACGAGAGAGAGGGGGGGGCGATTGAGGAATAATAAGTTAAAAGGGGGGCGCTGAACTCAAAAGGGGCTCACGTTTTGTTTTGCCCACGCGTTCTCGTTTTGCGTTGTTGTTTTAACACAAGCCACAATATCATTTGGCATTTCCCTTCACAAGCGTTCACGCAAATGTTGCCAGAGTGTAATTTTTTTTGCTTACTTTATTTCTAAAAAAAAATCTAATACAGTGCTTGCAAGGGGGTGCACGCAACTGCGGTTTAAATCGGTGCGGTGGCCACTCGGGGAGTTTGACGTAATATCGCCGATGATGATGATGATGATGAAATCCAGTCAACGTCGCGTTTCCTTCACAGATTAAGTCATATCTCGAGAACACATGTATATGTGCGCACGGTCATTACGGAATCCTCTTGTGAAACACGCAGGCGGCTTGATGGAGATATACAGCCACGGTGGGGGGGAGGGGGGGAAATTGCAATTAATAAACGATGTGCATTGCAGTACACGTACAGCCCTCTGCCAATCCACTGCTGGACGAGGGCTTCTTCAGGCAGTGCAGGTGGTTATTTGGCCCAGTGCAGGTTGATGTGAGAGCACGGAAGTACCATGCAACAACAATGCGCGTTGCTGCGTTAACCCTCTTTTGCCCACCAGGTAGCAGCAGCCTATGACAGAGAGTTTGTTTGCGTCGTGGGGACCTTTATTCGCCAGTATCAAAGTATGAGAAACAAGAATAAGTATCACTCTTTCTGGCAATAAAACAGGTGTTAAGATGTTCAAACGCAAAATAGATTCCCTTCGCAAAGGAATGAAGTCTGCATTAACCACACATATTTGTGGTGAACATGCACACAAACATGCTCTGACAATATTTTTTGGTTAATTTCGGTAAAGTCACGTAGGCTGAAAAAATTAATAGATCACGACGTTTAGGGTCGCGATCTAATAATTCAGACGGACGCTTGTGCTGCGACCGAAACGACGGGATCTATTTTTTTTTTCTACCCACGTGACTTTACTGAAAGAACCAAACAGTATGGATTCCTGCAGTCACGAAAGCTTCAAATCAAGAATGCTCTGACAATATATGGCATTGTCTTTGAAACTGATTGGCTTACACCAGAGACAGCCTTCTTTAGGGCCTAGTCTCACCACCAGTGTCAAGAGTGGAGAACAATGCCAAAAGGCGAACAAGTACAATGCACGTATAAGAGCATTCATTGCTTGGGGTGAGCAGCAATATCATGGGGATCTTTTTGCCAGTATCAAAGGATGAAAAATAAGCGTAAAACGTATTATTTTTCTTATCATGTTAGTGCATTACACACTTTTTCGGCACTATCCAGAATCAACCCAGCTTCGTATCCAAGGTCTGACGAAAATGAGCACATTCTGAATGATTTGGTCACAGGATATATTTTAAACTCTTCTTGTAATTCATGAAAAAAATATGTTTGGCGCTGTGAAATAGTATTTCATAAGACATTGTACTGTACCATGTATTTCATTGTTAAACCGAGCTACACAGATCCACTCACTGTTCAGTCATGTCTGGCATGCAGACAGAAATGGCTCTGAGCAGCAGTGGCTCATGTAAACAATATTTTTTTAATCCCCTTTGCCAATCCACTGCCATATTAAGGCCTCCTCCCCATGTCCAATTGGTCATGGGGTTGTTTTGACCATACTTCGCATCGATCGGGGTGGTTTAAACGTGGCCGAGCATAGCCTTTGGAAGTAAGGCACAAGACATTAATGGTTTTTGGTAATGTCGCAATGTAGCAGCATACCGACAACCCCCTTTTTACATATCCGCTATCCGAGATCAATCCTGCTTAGCTGCTGTGTAATGTCATGCTTGCGGTTTGTTCCCTTTGAGGCACATTGTTGCCCAGAAAGGAGCCATCCATTTAGTACGTATGCAAAAATGTCAAAACCCTTCTCAGTAGACCCCCCCCCATACGCAAGCGTACGCGTTTGGGTTAACCCCCCTCCAGGCGTACGTACTAAATAGACGGCCCCGAAAGTGGCCTCTTTCACTTTGACTCAATTTTCCAATGGTAAATTGGAAAGGCAGGTGCCCCACTCCCTGGTGACAAGGGTAATGAACAGCATCTCTGTGTCCGTACCACTTTCTTTTGTCATGCCTAGGGGGGCAGCAGTTCGCTCAATCCGAGGGGGTCGTGCTCACCCCCGCGTCCTTTCATAGGAAGGGTATAAAAGGCTACGGAATGGATACCGTGCAGAAGAGATGTCTGTGTGTTGGGAATGTCAACTCCACGTTAGGGTGACAAAATACACGAGTACACGACATGAAACACGTGTGGCGTTGGATGGGCTGCCATTCCAAAAAGAATGAGAACCATGAGCCAAGGGTAAATGGTTAATACAAACTAATTTGAATATATGCATCATCAGCAACCAACTTGTAACCATGACACAAACTGCAATACATGAGAATACAATATCTCACTATGCTTATGGAATATTCTACAACTTTTTTGTGTTATCCCAATTGCACGTAAATCGCTCTTGCTCCTTAATATGTGAAGCGTGGTGTATGCCATGTTAAATTTTTTTGCACAATAGTGTATAATCATACTTACCTTTTTCGTAATTATTCTTCGATGTTCTATTTAAGCATGTCACTCTGATACATCTCTTTGAACACATTCATATAGATGGATATTATGCACGCAATTGACTGGAATTGTAACGACTTAAAAGTCTATGCAATCCATTGCTAGATGAAGACCTTCTCGCACTGTCGGTCTTGGGAGTTACTTGACCATACTTCACCATGCTGGCCAGCATGGGTTAAGAAAGAGGGGAATCCAAGACAAATACAGTTATTACCTCTCGCCACTGATGTTAACCGTGGCCAGGAATCAAACTCAGGTATCCAGATTCACAACACATGATTAGAACACCGAACAATCAAAATTAGGAGTTACAATGGACATACTGTAACATTTTGATTTAAAGCTTTCGTGACTGCAGGGATTCATATTCTTGGTTCTTTCGGTAAAGTCACATAGAAGGGAAACAATAAAATAATAGAAATATAAAACAATATATTTTTAAGAATATACTGTAACATTCTTTTTTACATTTGCATGAAGACATTCAAATAAAATTTCTTACCAAATGTTGGTGGATAGGCAGCCATGGATGGAGCCCCATAGTTGTAGCCTTGCCTAAAAAAAGACACACCCCAAAAATAAACAGCTGAGATTGAAGACTTGCTTATCTGTTGCATGCCAACTGACAACTGATCGACATTTCAACATCCCAACCTATGCTTTTCAGTTTAACACGTAGGCTTTCACGACCAATATCCATAACAAATGTTTTTTTGGGGTTAGGTCACGTGAATAAAATGTGCTTTTCCATTTGAATTGGTAACGTTCCATCATGTAATTCTCTAACCTTCTTTGTAAAGATCACTTATGTCTGGTGCTGATTTACAGCAGTGCAGTACTTAGAACTGTGCATTGAATGAAGAGTCATTGTTTAAGTGACTTTGTAAAAATAATAGGGTTTTTCCCCTTTTTTCTGGTAACAAAAACTTAAATCTTTTTACAAGGATTCATGTCTGCATTAAACACAATACCTGCAGTCAAAATGCAAACAAAAAACATACTATGATGACGCCAAAAGGCATTTTGGCGTCATCTGGACGAGCACCAATTGGGTCGAGGCTCAAAAAAAGCCGTCCCTTGGTGTGGACCAATCAGTTTAAAAGATAATGCATATATTATCATAGTATGTTTTTTGTTTGCATTTTGACTGCAGGTATTGTGGTTAATGCAGACATGAATCCTTGTAAAAAGGTTTTAGTTTTGTTGCCAGAAAAAAGGAGAAAACCCCTATTATTACATTTTGGTACTGGCAAAGGAGGTCTAATGATGACCTTGTAAAATTACCTTCTGAGAATGACTATTTTACGTAGTATATACTCTTAAGCCAATGTTGTAAATTAGGACGGCCTGAAAATGTGGATTGTGAAATTGTACGCAACATAACAGCAATAATGTAATAAGCATACATTTAACTGGATTTACAACTGTGTGTTTAATGGCATTACCACAGATATTTGGTGGTCAATACAACAATTGCACAACCCTCACTACAACCTACATGACACACACCAGCACATTTTGCCAGGTTAGGATAAAATGGGTTATAGAGCAAACACTGAATTGCCCATAAAGGTGGGCGGCTTTGGATGTTTTCCAAGAACACATTCGCAATCCATACGACACAAGCTCACTCCTGCATTGTAATTTCCCAAACACGATTAACATTTCTCCATGCACGGACCTGGCATACCCTAGAGGCGTTATCCCGGATTATATAATATATTACGTATTACATAGCATTAATTCATGATATAATGTGTCTGTGCAATACACCAGGAATAGGCAAAAATTACAAAATCTAAATACAGTAAATTATTAAGTTGATACTGCACATTAATTCTTAAACACTTAACACCCGAGATGATCCAACATTTAATATTTCTCCAATGAGAGCTAAATTGAACAACTTTTTTGTAATGTATTGTATGTTACACTTGGCGCCGGATGGCCTATGGACCTGCCACACTTATTTTAGATGCTCTGCCCTTGGAAACGATAAACAGCGCAATCAAGGCATGTCAAAAACAAGTAGTGTGTTTACTCTGCTACATCAGCCGTGCGGTGTAAAATATATCCATGCCAAAATGACTAGACTGTGGACCAGTTAATAATGTAGGTACACTTTTTTGCAATTACCAAGCCGATTCACATATATACGTGTATTGGAGATTGTTGCCTTTTATCCACCAACTATCGTGGTTTTTCATGACTGTGCCAGGTTTATACTGGCTTTCTGAGTTTGGGGCATTGGTTTTATTATAAGGATTCTAGAGGTGAAAGTTTTACTTATTTGTATCTCAGAATAACAGGCAAACCTGAGAATCTTGAAGGCACCTTATGTCTGGTTATTTATATGTTCTTGCATTACAATATGTACAGTATGTGTGTACAGAGTAGAACTGCTCTTATTTGACACATCCTGGATTCTATTGTCAACGATGCTTTCCAGCAATTTACTCCACTTATCCGTGACCACAAATATGGATAGTCACAGCTCATTAGGGTGAATTTGTGGATGAACTCCATTTATCTGGGGGGGTTGGGGAGATAAAAAAAAAATCTTGCAGATTAGAGTTATAATGTGATTTCCCAAAGTGCATGCTGGGAAACATGACCGATTCAAAACCTACGGATAATGTAAAAGAATGTACTTCTCTGACCTCTGCTTATCCACGAAATGTGTGGATAAGAGATCTACTCAATTGTTACATCCAGCATGAAACAGCAATACAAATAAAATCAATGAATACTATCTGCCGGAAAAGGATTTTTTTGGTAATAGCTGAAACTTAAGGTAAATGTTTATTTCCCCCAAACCCTGCACAATCCACATGATCTGTATTTAGAATATGCATTCATGCCTTTCAATGCACAGCTAAGAATGTTGTTTTTCATGTCCAGGGCGTAACTCAACAGAGCACAGAACCTATGACCTAAAACTTCCCGTGTGCCAGAGTTAACTAGGAAACATTTACGATGGTTTCTAAATGTTTATACAGAAACTGTATTGGTGTTCCCAGTCCTGCAACACAACACGTGTATTATCAATATTTCAGTCCATTAATCCACTATTGAATGAAAACCACTGCACACAATGTCGGACATGGGGGAATGGTTCACCACACCTCACCAACTTGGTCAATGTAAGTTTGGTCAAGGTGGGGAGCATAGATCTTTGGGGGCGTTAGACACAGACGAACATGCGTAAGGACTGCTACACTCTCTACTGCAGCAAATGCGGTACAATACAGTACACTAAAATGCCTTGCGCAACTAAAAACAGCTGTGGCCCAAGCACGAAAACATTCCACCGCTGCTAAATCGTGATTTGTTGGGAACCGTTTTAAAGCTGGGGGCATTGGCATTTATGAAAGGGTCTCTGCGGAACAGATGTTATGTTTTGCTTTAAAAGATGGGGCGTTAAGCGTAATATGTGGATTCAGATCAGGGCGTTCCTGTGTATCAATTGTCTAAGCCCTCGGTCTCAATGATGGAGTGCCCACTGGCCCTCCCTGACCTCACTCCCAAATGTCCGGCTCAAACCAGTTTATACTTGCATTTGCAATCCCAAGTGCTGCCTTATACACAAGCTATGACTTAAAAGCATACGTCATATATAGTAAATAACAAGACACACCTCGAGAGCGCAATTAGAGTGTACAATCGTGTATGTGTGCACAGCTGTGTAATGTATTTGGCGATGAATTCAGCACAAACAAGCAGTACAGGACCATGGTCGAGTACAGTATATTATATAATGCACACTGTTACACATCCTCTCCAGGGAACAGAGATGAAAAACGCCGTGTCAAAAGACACGGCGTTACGTTGGATTGTACGACCACCTCCTATGTTAATCTCACTTGCTCAACAAGAAAAACGAAACCGTGACAGTGTCTGAAAAAAGCAGGAAAAACGTACCCAACTAATTTGTCGTGCTCCATGTTGCTCTGGTCGGACAAAGAATACAGCAAACAAAGCAGCAGCAGCAGCAGCAAAATGTATGGAGCAACTAAAAAGCGCCCTTCAGTCTTTAACAAGCTAGCGACAGCAGACAGCCGAAGCACCGATAACGTTTTGCTTCTAGACTCGAGGCTCACTTTGCAGGAACGCGATCTCAAGGCTCACTTTGCAGGAATGCGATCTCAAGGCACCATCCCATGCCGGTTTAAAGAGAGCTTGCAAGCCAGGCATGCGTGGGAGGGGGAGGCGACATTTGAGTGGTGCGGGGAGTGGCTCTGTTGTGTAACCCCATCTCCCAAGCAACTCGTGTCCACTCAACTACATTATAAGAGCATTTCAGAAGGCCTGAATCCAAAAGTTATAGAAAGTGGACCCCCCCCCCCCATCCAGATGTGGGGGTAAAAAGTCGATCCAACAGGTTTCCAAAAATTGTCGACCCCCACTCCCACCAAAAAATAAATTGATTTTGTCAGCATATATGCCAACACACCCTACATACAAGGGAGTCAAGAGGATCTCATACATGTCAACCCCTTATCAGTGCCTACCTTATTACAGACCAATTCAGACCTAATTGGTCACCCCGTGCCCATATAAATCTCAAGGTTCATCCTACAAAGTCCCATCACAATGGAGACACACAAACAAACATAAATTACTTTTTTGCCCGCATTGAAACGGCTGTACGCCGTATGGACCTGCAAACTCTATTTCTCTGCACAATAATACGGGGAAACCATATGGGTTGACAGGTATGGACTATCTGCACACATTGGCGGGGGGCGGGACATCTAGTGTACTAAAACCACTCCCAAAAAGAACATGAAATGTTGCGTCAACGTTGTAGTGTCAACGATGATGGGCCGTTGGTCCCGACGGTTCAAATCACGTGGCAACGTTGGTTGGCGGAAGGCCGGACTGAATTTTTGAAGGTGCTTCAAATAACAGTGTAACATTTTTTTTTTGTATCTGGGTAGTAAGTGTTATTTCCTAATTGCCTCAAAAGTACAGAACATGGCTATTATTACTCACAAACTTTGCTTTTGTGACCAGGACAGTGATATTTTGAAATTTACCTATTTTCCAAAACATTGCATATAGATTCAGTGCTGAGTAAACTTGAAGTAACTTCTAGAACATTCTAGAACTTTCCAGCAATATAAATAGTGGTATAAATACAGGGGCCTTAAGCCCACCAGTTCAGTTTAGTTCTAGCTGCCTAAGTGGATACATATCTGTATTTTCCTGAGATGGCATCAAGAGGCTGCAAGCATCTGGCAGACGCATTTTGCTATGTCTGCTGCCAATTTATCAGGACATGACCGAAAAAGTACTCTGTGGAAGCATCTGCTAAGATGTGTGAGGCCTACAAGGCATATTTTGGCATGCCTGTCGGGGATCAAGACAAACCCTGGGCACCTCATTTCACCTGTGAGCAATACAAAAAAACTCTGGAAGGTAAGATGTACAATTGTTGCTCAGAATTTTATGTTATAAAATGTTTAAACATTTACATTTGTAAAAGTTTTTAATTTTAAAATGATTTACAATTTTCAATGTTATTGAAAAAATATATATATCATATATGAAAAATGTTGCGATAATCTCTTACACATGAGTCATGGGTGAAATAAATGTATATTTGTAGGATAGTACAGAGGGGAAAAGAGAGCCATTAAGTTCGCTATCCCAAGAATTTGGTGGGAACCCACTGACCACTCAAGCAACTGTTACTTCTGCATGGTGGACCCTTCCAAACGTCAGACTGGCAAGAATGCACCTGCTATCACGTATCCGGACCTTCAGTCATCACCCCGGTGCCACACTGCCATGAGCTCCCCATACCCACTCCTCCGGAGAGAGAGCAGCCGTCTTTAGAAGAGAGCAGCAAGTCAGAGAGCGAGGAAGACGTTGTAGATCAAGATGACAATTTCAGAGGTGGAGCTGAGGAGAGAAACCCATACTACCCTAACCAAAAAGACCTCAACGACTTGGTCAGAGATATTGGTCTCACCAAGTCCAATGCCGAGCTTTTGACGTCTAGGCTCAAGCAGTTGAACTTGTTGGATAAAAGTGTGCAAGTCGCAGATCAGAGGAAGTGTCACCAGCCTTTTTGCAGCTTCTTCACCCGTCAAGATGGGCTCTGCTTCTGCCACAATGTGACCAGTCTGTTCGAGGCAATCGGAATCGCCTGTAACCAGAATGAGTGTCGCCTCTTCAGAGAGCTCATCCAGGAGCCTCAAAGCCATGCTGCTCCATAATGGTAACAAGTACCCGTCTCTTCCCCTGGCTCACTTGGTGCACCTCAAATAGGATTACAACAGCATCAAGACCTTGCTGGACACCTTGAAGTATGATGAGTACGGCTGGGAGGTCATTGGGGATTTCAAAATGATGGCATTTCTGATGGGTCTCCAAGGCGGTTTTACCAAGTTTCCCTGCTATCTTTGCCTTTGGGACAGCAGGGGCACCAAGGCGCACTACCACAGGCGGGACTGGCTACAGCGGACCGAGTTCTCTGTGGGGAGGAACGACGTCAAGTGGGAGCCACTGGTGGACTCCTGGAATGTGCTGATGCCACCACTGCACATCAAATTGGGCCTCATGAAACAATTTGTCAGAGCTGTAGATAAGGAGTCGGCAGTCTTCAAGTACCTTAAAGACTTCTTCCCTAAGCTATCTGAGGCAAGGATAAAGAAGATCCTGGAGTGCAATGAATACCCCAAGAAGCTCACTCGTAAGGAGAAAGCGGCTTGGAACAGCTTTGTCGCAGTGGTTCGTGGCTGCCTGGGCAATCACAAGGTCGAAAACTATGTGGAGCTGGTTGAGACTCTGGTGAAGAACTATGGCACAATGGGCTGTAGAATGTCCCTCAAAGTCCATATCCTTGATACTCATCTTGATAAATTCAAGGAGAACATGGGAGCGTACTCGGAGGAGCAAGGCGAGCGCTTCCACCAGGACATACTGGACTTTGAATGCCGCTATCAAGGACAGTATATCGAGAACATGATGGGAGACTACATTTGGGAGCTGATTTGTGAAAGTGATTTACAGTATAATCGTATATTTCGAAAAACTACTCACTTCTAAATCTTTTGCAGTATTTTTTGTATTACTTTAGTATAAATACATGTTAATTTTGATTCATATCTTATTTTTTCTGACTTTATGTGAACAAAAAGACACAAATTCGCCCGTTTTCTCATTGAAAATAGGTAAATAAAAAGATATCACTGTCCTCGTCACAAAAGCAAAGTTTGTGGGGAATAATAGCCATTTTCTATACTTTTTAGGCATAAGCAATTACGAAACAACACTTACTACCCAGGAACAAAAATTGTGTAATTATTCACGTTGTGTATTTGTCACGTGAATGTAAAAAAGTGATCTACAAAAGGGAGAGCACACGAGCAAAAAAACGAAGTGGGATACTGCTCACGTAATAATACAAAAACAACCGGTGACCAAATGGGTTTGGGGAAATATTATTAAGCGGGCCAGGGCAAAGTATTGTAGGAAATATGAACTGTTCACCATCGTGTAGATCCAATTATACATGTTATCTAAACGCCTCAATGTGTACACAGATTTTTTTAAACATTACATTGGTCCAAAAGGTTCGTATGCTGATATGGATGGACCATTAAATATGTTATGGAGAAATTTTGATTTAAAGCTTTCGTGACTGCAGGGATTCATATTCTTGGTTCTTTCGGTAAAGTCACGTTGTTTCCCTTCTAAAATGAAAAATTTTCCAGTGTGTGACTTTGATCATCCAGAATAGACCATACAATATATATTCTTGGTTCTTTCGGTAAAGTCACGTAGAAGGGATACAATAAAATAAAGAAATATATTGTTTTATATTTTTATTATTTTATTGTTTAAAATAATAAAAATATATTGTTTTATATTTTTAATATTTTATTTTTCCCTTCTATGTGACTTTACCGAAAGAACCAAGAATATATATTGTACGGTCTGTTCTGGATTATCAAAGCCGCACACTGGAGAATTTCTCATTTTCCCTTTGTGCATCAGGTATCCACATCTGCCATGGTTTGTGCAGATGCGGTTTTAGAATTGAACCATGAGCTTCATAGAAGATCAAAACCAGGGAACTTCCACATTGGATCTTTCACAAGGTGTCTGTGAGTTCGTTTTAACTCCATTCAGCTTTCGCGACCAATATTTTTCATCATAAAGGTTTTTGGGTTAGATCGCGTTATTTATAAATGTGTCATAACCCTCCACCACCCGCCCCGGCCAATCAGCAAAAAAAGTGCCACGTTGACAAATGGCGAATTGCCCGATGATGCTGGATGTAATTACCAGCGAAACGTCGTATTCAAACTGTAAATGTTGTGGATTCACTCTTTAACACACCGGTGGGCTAAAGCAGTGAACTAATTTTTTTGCTGATTGGGCGTGTCGGGTGGTGGAGGGTTATAACACATTTATAAATAACGCGATCTAACCCAAAAAAAACCTTTATTATGAGTCAATTCAGCTTTTCTAAGCTTCATCAGGGTTGAATTAGTACTGTTGAAGATTAAGTGCATGGGTCCAAAAGGCCTTTTTTAATTAACGCTGTGTCCCTCTGTAACGAGAAGACATGCCAACTCTCATGAAGACGATCTCACGTGAATGAAATATTACTCTAACGTTGTGTTGCTATTAGGGATTTGCCAGATTGAACACTGAACAAATTATTTGGTGATGCTCAGTTTGCAGCGGTGCACAAGCACATTTAACATAAACCCACAATCACGTGCTATGAATAAGGGCATTGCTCAAAACGTCGACAATTAAATAATGCATCGTTTCTATTTAAGGCAGTGTTGTTGACGAGTGTGTTGAGTTCTATTGAAAACTGGCCAAATTAATCATCTTGCTCAAACCTTTTGGGTGCAGGGTAAACACAACTATGTGCAAATTAGCAAATATTTCCCCCTGCTATCCAGTCAGCTGCCATAGTGCTAATTCAATACTGTCAACTGTGCTGTTTCCTAACAAGTAATTAAATTATTTTCTAAATCACAACACATATTGTACTTTGAAAGAATTTCAAGGCAGGATATGAAAGATGGCACAGTATTGTTTTCGTGATTGTTTGGAAGCAAATGGCTGGAACCATTCCATACAGCAGATTGCGTCATCACTTTGTCTTTGAGAACGCAACACCTGTAGCCATTATTAAACCGATGATTCATTCTCATGAAAAAAAATGTAATAAAGCGTATATTACTGT